TCCATTACATGTCGACCAACACGATCTACATCGACATAAGCACCTCACGATCCACATTGTCTCGATCGGAATTGAAAACCGGCATCTTGTGGCGGAACATATATCCTAGTGATCGAATTCCACAAGTCTTACATTTCTGTAATTTTGAGAAGAAAAAGAAAATGATACCTTAATGATCATGGAGAAGGGACTATAGGATTGTGGGCTTCGATATCCACGTGCCTAATACCCGGGACTATTTCTTGAATCTCTTTTTCGAGCCGATCAACTTCACTCCCAAGAGCTGTGACGACCTCCTCACCTGCCATAGAACATCACCGCTTGATTTTAAAGAATTGCTTTCACGCTTAAGTTACGAGACATAGCATCTGAGTTTTTTTATCAAATAACAACAATATCTCATTGATCTTTGGTTCTTTTATTTCAACAAATGGAACACTCCATAAGGGGTACTCGTTTTTCTTTTTATTTATTTCATCGAGGTTTCGTGCAAATTATGTCAAACTCAAGAGCCAATGGCAGTTAGAGTAAACTCTCGATTGCTTTTGTTGCATATCATACCGTAGTTTGACATGATCTTGAGCAATGCAGTATCGTCCTCAGCTTTGGCAGCCTCCCGAAACTGTATATATGCCATGAGAAGAGTTAGATATTTCTGAAAAAAGAAAGATTTTAAAAACTATAAATAAAAGGTGGCGTTTAACGGGTAGCATTCAGAAACTCCTACACAGCATATTTCACATGCATTACATGCCAGCAACCCAGATAACTAAGGATGGGTAGAAGTATAAGAAAAATAAGTTTTCCCTAAAATACGCAACATAAATTTTCTCACAGACAGTGTATTTACCTGTTTAGCCCACTCCTCACGTCCAGTTCGTTTTAGATAGTTTTGCACCAATACAACACCATTGAAGTCTGAAACACAATATCATACTATACTTTAAGGATCCCAGATAACCAACACAATATCATACTCTATTTTATCAAAACACTGCATCAAAAAATGGTGTCAAATGGGCATCAAATCACCTATTTCAGCCTTAAATCTAAAAAATCCTGGTCCAATCACCTCGCTTTTGCAATCATATATAGCATCCACAACCTATAGAGGAAAAAGGAAAGGAAGGAAAAGAAAAGGAATGATTACACTTTCGGTAAACTGCTTTGTCAAATGTCATAAACAAGCAGCAAAGAGTAAAGTTCGGCAACATACTGGATCATTTTTCAGAAATTGGAGAACTTTTTCCATATCATGATGGTCAATAGCTCGGCCAATCAAAGCATGGCGATTCCTCTGAATCAAAAATATCGCAACCTGCATCATGTGACTCATTTAATTTAGATGAGTATAAGATGCAGCTGTTTAGGATTATCCTGAACTTATCAGCATGCACTGAAGATAAGTAGTACAGATGTGCAGGCTAACCTCATCATAGTGCCTAATGTCTATATTCAAAAACTTTTCATTTGATTATATCCTGATTTTTTTTTTTTTCAGATGCAATTATCTTTATTTTACGTGGAAAACTGAAGGCACATTGTTCAATCAAAATACCAACGAATAGTACCACCATGTTATGCAAAAGAACAGAACTGAAAATCATATAAAGTCCATTAGAAAAACCAGTATACACATCACATACCATTCCCAAGAGGTTTCCCACAATAATCGAACCAATAGGATCGTAAATTGCATTTCCTGTGGTATTTACAGCCACCAATGATGCACCAGCAATGACAAGACCAGTAACAGCAGCACCATCCTGCATCGTAAAAATGATTTGGATTAATTTTCAATGACATTATTTTCCAAACATGTTCATGGAGAACATAACCTCATACTAAAAAGAGTTTTTTTTTTTCTTTTTTTTTTTTATCTGAAAATCTAGATGGTAGAATATGCACGAACACCTAAAAATTTCTCTGCTACTTCAGCAAGATGCATATCATTCAGGATTTTTTTTTTTTTTCAAGTTTGCAATGGAAGTACTACAACGAGCAATTACCAGCCAAACAACTTTCATTTGAGTTACCGCAAAAGAAAATAATTACAAATGTCCTGCTTATTCTTTCCTAGAAACAGAGTATTGCTTATTCAGTATATTTTCTCAAAGTGATAAAACTTATCAGATTAGACTCGTGATCCGGGTATGTGAAGTACTCCCAACACAGATGAGTGGTTTCCATTGCCATATCATACAGGTCCATGATTTAGATAATTATTGCATAGAAACCTATTAAGCATAAACGGACTCACTGAACTGAAACTACCAGCAAAATAGTTTTAACTTTTTAACTTCTGAGACAACTTGAATGACCAAAGTAAATAAATATTTGTTACCTCTGTCATGACAGCAACAGCTGTAGGGTCATGACCACGCCAGACATAGTCTCTCACTTTCATTCCTTCAGCCGCAGCACCTTTTCTAACAGCATGGATAGCAACAACAAGAGAAGCACCTGAGACAATTTCACCTTTAAGCATAAAAGGTAAACTCCAAAAGACACAATATTTTGCTTTGTAAATACTAAATAGAACAATATGACCAAGCAATAAAAACATCCACCTTCAAGAATGAATGAGCCACCAATCACAAGAGCAGCGTACTCTATATGTTCCGGGGCCTGAAGAGAAAAAAAAAATATCAATCTAAAAAGCACCATTTTACTATAAAGATAGTAAAGTTGCTTCGAGATTGCGAATGTAAAGTTCTAGAGTTTCCACAATTAACTTTAATAGTTCGCTACCTGGGCAGTCCAGAGATTTTGAACACCATGGACAATAGTAGCACCAGAGCCGAGACAAAATATACCAACAGCAGAAATCAAAGACCACACAAATCTCTCCTTGGAATAACCATATCTGAGATCATATAAACAACATATTTAGTATGACTTCACCATTTAAATACATCATTACATGTCTCGGCACGCAAGGAAGTTAGTTCATCATATAAAGTCCCAAAGCTATTTAAGCATTCATTGATAATTTGAAAATGTGGTAATGAATAAATGCCAGTATTTGTATAAATCTCAGTTACAAATGAGCTCAGTTAAGCCATTTTTGGACTGTTCCTGCTTGACCATTGAGAAGCAAAATTTGAAAGCTACTTAGAACAATCGTTGAACTAATACTCTGATGTCAAAGTGAGTTTCAGAGTCCTGTAAGTCTCGCAGTAAGAATCTCTACACATAAATGATAAGAGCATATTTACTAGACCTGTAACTATAACGTTATACGTTTGTGTATCGAACGGATGACTTACGGATGAAGAGCATCTGGGGCACGGCGAGAGCTACTTAAACCATATGCAAGTAGAGCCTACAGATTAAGCAATAAATAAATTCATTATATGATAAACTGATGAGGGGTTTTCCACTTTCCAACTACATAAGAGTGTCGACCAGCAAGTACACAAAAATAGAACACAAAATACCTGATTTGCGAAGTCTGCCACTGAATGCACAACTTCAGCCAATATTACATGGCTTGAGGTTGATAACCACACCCCAAATTTAAGAGAAAAAACAAGGAAATTGCACCATAAGGCTGTTGTGACTGCTCGCTGGCTGAACACAGACAACATGTTAATATCGAAGAAACATGTATAAGGATTGATGAGATAAGGCAAGGATGATACTCTAGTCACTATATCATAGGTCAACTCGTGAAATTGAAAGATGCAAGAAATGCAAACAGGACTCATGCGTATTAACCAAAGAAATGGACTAAGTGATAAACTAACAATAAAAGAATTTATTTACATCTACACTGCCATTGTCTTTCTCAATCAAATCGCAGGGCACACTGCAATCCATCACTCTCGGTGGAAAAAGAAAAAGATGAAACCAAAGAACTACGAAAAAAAAAAAGAATTACCCATGATCCTCCACTTCAATCTTCTTAATCTTTTTAGCTCTGGTCAGAAAACCTGCAAACACCCACCAAATTGTTACAACACACCAAAGCTTACACTTAGTTCATCAAGTCCCACCCCTCAAACCTGTGAGAGAAAGAGAGAGAGAGAGAGAGAGAGAGAGAGAGAGAGAGAGAGAGAGGGAAAAAAACTGGATGAAACTCACTTCTTGTGGACTGAAACTGGTGGTGATTACTACAACAAGGCGAAATCAACCTATACAAAGGAACAAATCTCGACAAATTATTAGGCCCCGTTAAGCTACCAAATGCTCCGAAATCCAGACGCCGCCGAGGAGAACGAGTATCATACTGAATTATGCTCCGGTGATTGACAAGCTTGTAATCCTGCAATTTGTTATCCTCCGGCTCGCGAGAGGAGCATAAGAAATGGATTTGGGAAATGGAGCAGCTGAACGGAGAGTGTCGACACCGTTCATGGCGAACGCGAGAGAGAATCCGAGCGGCCTTTCGCATTTCTGCTGAAAATATAATTTGAGCTACAATAATCCAACAATCAACCTATACATGGTAACAGAAAATCGTCTTTGCTTCCCG